GAGAGGGTAGGAAGTGTGTCTTGTCATCACTCTAGGCCAGCACCCAGAACAGGGCCTGCCACACAGAAGGCCTCAGAAATGCTTCTTGAACGAACGGATGAACGAACAAATGAATGAATGAATGAACGAAAGAACGAATGAATGAATGGATAAACAAAAGAACGAATGAATGAATGAATGGATGAATGAATGAAAGAACGAATGAATGAACAGATGAACGGATGGATGAATGAATGAACGGATGAATGAACGAATGAATGAATGAATGGATGAATGACTACATGAATGATGAATGAATGAATGAATGAATGGATTAACGGATGAATGAACAGATGAATGAACGAATGAATGAACACATGAATGAACGCATGAATGAATGAATGAACAGATGAACAAAATGAATGAATGAACGGATGAATGGATGACACTGACAAGGGACAGGTGATGTGATGGACCATGGGGCCCAAGCCCAAGGCCAAGAGGAAGGTGGACAGGTGGGGAGACAGTACACAGTTACTGGCCAGGGCCAAAATGAAGAGTAGCGGCAGGTAAGTGTCAGGGTTGGAAGTGAGCAAGATGGCTGGAAGGTGAGGTCAGAGAGACTGGGCCTTTGGCTGAAGACCTCCAGGGAGAGCAGTCCTGGGCCCAGGCTGTGGCATGGCAGCAAGTGACCGAGGTGGCTGAAGGTGAAGGCTGATGGAGAGGAGATGAAGAACTAAGACAAGGGTAAAAGGGCAAGGCGAGAGGGCGGACACAGTAAAGCCTGGGACACAACAGTTCTCGGGGTAGAATGGGCTGGGAAATGGGAGGAGCCAAGCCCTTTGTGCCCAGGTGACTGGCCACGGCAGCTGGCTGATGGGGACAGCAACACAGTGGGCTGAGGTTGGGAGCCCAGTGAAAAAGCCAAGTGCTTGTATGGAGACGCCATGGTCCGGAAGCAGCACTGGGGAAGGAGGATCCCCTATTTCTGGATCCTGAGGGATGGGGTAAGGGGGGTGTGATCAGCTTGTACTGATGAGGATTTAGGGGCACAAGACCCCTGGGGAGGGCCTGAGTAGAGTGGCACCGAGCTTCAGGAGGCTGAAGGTGGAGGAAGGTTGTGACGGGAGCTTGAGTCTTACAGATTGGGCAGGAGGGAGGAGCGGTGGGAGTCAAGGGAAGGCCTGGGGAGAAAGGGATGGAAAAGGGAGGGGAGCAGGCAGATGGGGTGGACTGAGGCTTGTGGGCAAAGGAGCAGGCAGGATGCAGGAGGCTGCGTCTGGGGGCTGGGGCCACTGATGTCCACAGACCTCTGGGCAGCCATCAGACACCTTGGGAGGACCCACCCAAGGCCGGATGTAGCAATGAATACAGAGGAGAAAAGCAAGCTCTAAACTTGCAGATGTAATTGCAAAAATGCATACGAGAAAACAAAACAAGGCTGGGCACAGTAGCTCACACCTATAATCCTAGCACTTTGGGAGGCCGAGGCGGGTGGATCACCTGAGGTCAAGAGTTTGAGACCAGCCTGGCAAACATGGTGAAACCCCATCCCTACTAAAAATATAAAAATTAGCCGGGTATGGTGGTGGGCACCTGTAATCCCAGCTACTCGGGAGGCTGAGGCAGGAGAATTGCTTGAACCAGGGAGGCGGAGGTCGCGGTGAGCCGTGATTGCACCACTGCACTCCAGCCTGGGCGACAAGAGCGAAACTCCAACTCAAAAAAAACCAAAACAAGCAAAATCCTCTTTAACACCAGGTGGAAAAAACACTAGAAGGAAACACAGAAAACCCTTAACACTGATTGTGTCTGACAAATTAAAACCTTAAGTGACTTTGTACATCCTTGTACTTTTTCAAGCCTTCCGTCCCCAGGACCTACTATGGTTCTCAGGGCACAGCTGGTGCTCCATCCATGTGTGCTAAGGGAACTGCTTGGTAACTAAAGAGCAGGAACTGCTAATATAACCGGGTCAGGGACAGAGTGGGAGGCATTTTTAAATGCTCTCACTGGCCTCTCCCAGGCCCCACCCAGGGTTGCTCACCCCAGCACTCTCTCCTAGAGACAATCAGGCATTCGACTGGGACTCTGGTCACTTCCGTGCTTTTTTTTTTTTTTTGGCCAGGAGCTGCCTGACTCCCCCTGGGCCCAGGCCTGGCCCTGTGGCTCAGAGCAGGCATCAGGTCTGCCCCTGTGCCCGGGGCCGCCCCAGGCTCCCGAGAGGTGAGCTCACAGCTGACCTTGGCTTAGGCCAGGCCAGGACCAATGGCAAATGTTCAACCAAACTGTTGCATCCTGATTTCAAGTTCCTAAAACCTGGTCACCTGAAGTCCACTGCCCTGCCCTCAGGGAATGTACCATCAAGTCGGGGAAGCTAAAATGCCCCCATCAGGGACCCCGTAGGATCAGGGCACGAGGCTAAGAGATGTCTGGCAGAACAGAGAAGCAGGTGGGGCATCTGGAAGGGGGCAGGGGAGGGAATTTAACAAGTGCAGAGAGTGTGAAAGGCAAGGGTTTGCCTTCCTCTGGCCCCTTTAATCCTCCACAACCCTGGGCGCTGGAAAGGTCAATTTACACTGAGGACAAAAACAGCTAGCAGCGGACCCAGCCGGCATCAGATCCAGGTCAGGCTGGCTTCCAGTCCTGTGAGGGGTAAGGGTGGCTTCCTGTGTGGGGGTGTGTTGGGGGCATATGTGTCGAGGGTGTGATGCTCAGTGTGTCTGAGGCTCAGAATCCCCAAGTGTGAGGTGGGGAGGGCAGGGGTGCAGCTCAGGCTGGACAGCACCCCCACTGCCCTTCCATGGAGAAAACAAGGAGGCCCTGCAGGGCAACAGGCCCAGAAAGTGAGGGGTGACAACAAACAGAGCCCAGTCAGCAGGGACGAGGGAGGGAAGGTACAGTAATGAGCTCCGCAGGGCCCTGAGCCTCCTTCTGGGATCCATGGGCTAGCACCACAGCAGCACAGGAGGCAAAGCGCAATTAGCCAGGAGCGCCCAGACCCGCCCTGGCCTCCCTGGGACCCAAGCTGCTGTAGATCAGCCTCTTGGCCCTGGCAGCCTCCCAGACCAGCCAGGCCAGGTGCCCCAACCTCCTGCAATAGGAATCTTTGGCCCACAGATAAACACGGGCCTCCTGCCTGCAGTCCTGGGCCCGCTCTTCACTGGTAAGAGGCAGAGCTGCACCAGGAACCGCTTGGGGTCAAGCCCAGGGCAGAACACACAGGCTTCCACCTACAAATGGCCAGACGGATGGCCTCCCCAGGAGAGGACCCAGTGGAGTGAGGCCCAGAGCCACAAGGCCCTGGGAGGTCTGGGACAGCAAGGCTGACCATGGGGCTGCTGGGTGGTAGCTGAGTCCAACAATTTGGAAAGGAGCTCTGCTCCCAAAACTCTCCTCAGCCTTCTCTACTCCACGTCCCTGGTGGCCTCAGCAGGGACATATACGTTGGGCCAATTCTGCCTGTGGGGAGCTCACCTCACGGGGGAGGTGAAAGATAAAACAGGCAATTACAGGGCAAGGTGGGAGGAGGGGACAGCCCTACAGGATGCCCATGTGCCCCTTCAGCCCCTGACTGAGCCCTCATCGAGCACGGGCTGGACTCTAAGGCAGGGGGACCTTGTTCTGGGCTCAGAGAAGGGGGTGGGAGCCTGGAAGCTGGAGAGTGAGGACCAGCCCGACACCCAGAGCACAGAACCAGGCTCCAGCCCTCTGTGGGCCTTCAGGCATAGAACTAAAATGAGCCAATGGGTGGCTCTCGGAAGCCCTCCTGGCTCAGGTGCCCCATGAATACCCACATCCACACGCTGCAACCGTGGCCTCTGCCAAGGCCCCAGGGGCCCTACAGCAGGCAGGGCTCCTACCCTGCAGGACCATTGGGGCTAGGCCTCAGGGATGCCCACCCTGGAGTGGCTTTGAAAGGTTACACCCCCGTTCTGCAGATTCAAGAGCAAGACACCTATCAGAGTCTCAGCCTCGCCCAAGGGCACTGCTCCCTCTGACGGCCAAGGGATACCTCAGAGAATGAGGAAAATCTCAGTCTTGCACAGGAGTACCTTACCTGTATGTTCTATGATATTAATTATCATAATGCTGGTAGGCACAGCCACCTTTGGCCAAGCACCATGCCACACAAGGCTCGTTGAGTGCAGCATCTGGTCCCACCCTCACCACTCCCCAAGAGACAACCACTCCGATTGTCCTGATTTTGCTGATGAGTCACCTGAGGCCAGCTCCAAAGCTACCAAGCGCTGAGGCTCACTGCCAAGCCTGGGAGATGCAGGTGTCCAGTGCTCCTCAGCCCCACTGCCAGCCCCTCCCAAGGGATGACAGAAGGGCAGGGATGAGCAAGGGGCCATGACCAGAGTCTCCCTGCAGTCCCTGACAATGATTCTTCAGGAAGCCAGGGTCTGCCTCCACTCTGGTCTCCCTGCCTCCTGTGCACTGAATCTAAGGCCCCTCTGCCAAGTGCTGGGATAGGAGGTTGGGCTGCAGGACCAGAGCCCATTCTTTCCAACCCAAACCCTTTGGCCCTAGTCCAGAACACCAGAGCTTGGAACCGGGAGTCGTGAAGCTGGGGATCGCCAACCCACCCTTGCTCAACAACTGGGAAAAGTCAGGCCCAGAGGAGGACAGCGACCAGCCGAGTCACGCAGCAGGTCTGTGTCCGTCAGGGGTCTCCTGAGCCCCACCAGAGGTGTACACTGCACACTAAATGTGATGCACACAGCTTCCACATTTCACAGGTGTGTGTTAATCCACCAAGTGTCCCCAACAGCGGGGACGGGGAGAACATATCAGAATGACCTTGGGAGCCCCACAGATTCCCAGTGCCTGCCCAGCTGGAGGGTGAGGGATGGCAATTCTGACGCTCGGCCAGAACTGGGGTCCCCCACCCCATCCCTGGCACAGGCTTTTGAAAGTCTCATCTGCCACGTTCAGGTTCCGCCTGTCTGGCAGTGAGAGCCGCAGGCTGCGTTCACACTCCCCAGCACCCTGCCCCACCCTGCCCCAGGCCTCACCTTTTGCCACAGCGACTCCCGGGAGGCAAGTGACGAGCAGGCTGCCACAAACCAGCAGTTGCCCACCTGGCCCTGGTGCAGGTCGTGGGAGCTGATGCCATCCACAAAGAGGCGGGGGTCCTCGCAAATGTCCTGCAGAGACGGTGAGGAGAGAGCGTGAGGGGCTGAGGAGCATGCGGATGCCCCCCATGGCAGAGGACATGGCAGACACAGACATGACAGACAGACTTGCTGTGTGACTGTGAGCATGGAGAGTCACCTGCCTCCCACCACAGACTCGGGGCCCCATGTGGCCCATCTGCTCCCTGCTTGCCCCTCACCCCGTGGTCCTGCCTGGGATCCCTCTCCCCTTCCTGGCTGGAGAGGGCTCCTCTGCTAAAGGTTTGCTGATGAAGAACCTGTGGGAAGACGTCAGAGCGCCAGACCCAGGGCACTGCCTGCCTTCTGCCCGCTGCGCCCCTCCCTAACCAGCAAAAGCTCTGTTCCCTTCCGTCTCCAGCACCAGCAGCCTGAGTGCCCACCCCCGCCAGCCCACAGGGGCCCAGCAGGATTAAGTGGGGTGGGAGTGCAGGCATGGGGCAAACACCCAAATCCCATGTGGGGAGCACAAAGTGAGGGGCCAGTGGGGAGCAGTGGGCCAGGCCCCGCAAGGCACTTGACTCATACAGTCTCACATCTGATCCTCATGCCGCCCAAGGAGCGAGGAGTTGTCATTCCATTGTATGGGTGAGGAATGGAGGTTCAGAGAGGGACTGTGACTTGTCAAAGGCACACAGCAAGCAAATGCTCAAGTGGAACAAAAACTCAAGTGGAGTAAAAACTTCGTCCGCTCCCCTCCCCTCCCCTCCACTCTCCTACCCTCCCCTCTTCTTTTCTTTTCTGACACAGTCTCCACAGTCTCGCACTTTTGCCCAGGCTGGGGTCTGGAGTGCATTGAGTACAGTGGCGCAATCTCGGCTCTCTGCAACCTCCACCTCCTGGGTTCAAGCAATTCTCCTGCCTCAGCCTTCCAAGTAGCTGGGATTACAGGGGCCCACCACCATCCCCAGCTAATTTTTATATTTTTAGTAGAGACACGGTTTCTCCATGTTGGCCAGGCTGGTCTCAAACTCCTGACCTAAGGTGATCTGCCCACCTCGGCCTCCCAAAGTGCTGGGATTACAAGCATAAGCCACCGCACCCAGCCTCCATTTTTATTTTCTACAGAGACCGGCGGGCATGGCCGAAGAGGCTGCTCCATGAGACGTAGCCAGGGAATCCGGCCAGGGCAGCCACTGACCAGGGAATGATCCATGAGCAATTGGCTGCTCTCAGGCCCAGCACTTCCTAATTTCTGGAAGCCCCTTGCCCTGCCTGCCAAGAGAGAGGCAGCCCAGGGGGGCTCCAGTACCAGCTGCCCTCTGCACCTGACCCTGCCCCAGGGGGGGCTCCAGTACCAGTTGCCCTCTGCACCTGACCCTGCCCCAGGGGCCTCCAGTACCAGCTGCCCTCTGCACCTGACGCTGCCCAAGGAGCTCTGGCTCGGGTTTTCCACCTCTTCCTGCGGCGGGGGTATTTTCCTTAAAAGCCCCCTGAGGCAGTGCTGTGAAAGGCAAAAGCATGGGCTTTGGTTTCAGACTGGAGACTGAATTCCAGCTCCTCACTCGGCAGTCTGGCGAGCTCTCTGCGCCTCGGCTTTCTGATTTATAAAGTAGGAACAACGATTTCTTTATGTTGTTGGATTTGGGGTTTTTTTTTTTTCTTTTTTTGAGACATGGTCTCATCTGTCACCCAAACTGGAGCGCAGTCACAATCACAGCTCACTGCAGCCTCAACCTCCTAGGCTCAAGCGATCCTCTGGCCTAAGCCTTATGAATAACTGGGACTGTAGGTCCACACCACCACACTCAGCTAACTCTTAAATTTTTTGTAGAGATGAGGTCTTACTATGTTGCCCAGGCTGGTCTCAAACTCCTGAGCTCAAGCAATCTTCCCACCTCAGCCTCCCAAAGTGCTGGGATGACAGGCTTGAGCCAACGTGCAAGGCCAATAATTTCTACTTTGCGAGGAGAAATCAGTGTATGTAAAGTACTAAGCCCAGGGCCTGACCCAAAGCAAATGAAAGTCTCCTTCAATGTTCACGTGCTAGGAAGCTATGCCCAGACCACCATGGGTGGCTCCAGCACCAAGAGATGCAACCAGGAAGGGTCAGCTCACCCTGTGTTCCCGCAGCTGTAATCATCCCGCCCCAAGGCCTGAGCTAGGGGTGGGGCCTGGCCTGATCCCTAGCCCTGGCCCAGGGAACAGAGCAGGCCCCTCCTCCTCTCCCATTGCCTCACTGAGCTGAGGAAGCCACTACTCCCCAGGGGTTGTGGGTATAGTGGAGGGTGGGGACCGGCAAACACTGAGACATGCCTTTCATGCACCAGGCATCCTGCTAGCACCACAATCCATCCTCACCATGGCACTGAGAGGTGGGCAATAGTTCCCTTTTACAGATAAGGAAACTGAGGCCCAGGGAGGTTGAATACCATGCCCTGGCCACACAGCACGGGCAGATGGCAGCAGCCCTCTGCCTGCCTCCACTCCAACAGGCACTCCCGAACTAGTTCCATCCCAAGAGCTTCTGCGATCCTACCACAGGCGGCCAGCAGAGGGCGGAAGAGGCAGGAAGACAGAATTTGAATGTCTGCTCCCTGTCTACTGGCTGTGCAACTTTGGGCCTCACCCATGCAGACGAGATAAATGACCATCCCTGCAGGGCTGTGTAGGGACTCTACAGATCGCGGAGCAGAGCAGTGGCAAGGGAAAATGGGGCAGAGGGCCCCTAGTTCCCACCAAGATGGGGACCCTGCCTGTCACCTCTGCCCAGAATAACCAGAGTTTTAGAGGGTCAGAGAAAAGGCTAGAATGCCCCCAAGGGCATGAGCAGCTCCTGAGACCTGGCCCCTCCTTCCAGTTGGCACCACAGGGTGCCCCAGGGCCAACCTGCACGGCGGCTTCTGCAGAGCACAGGTCTAGGAAACCCAGTGAGGCCACCTGCTCTCATCCATTCCCAAGGGCACCCCCTCAGGAAGCACAGGCAGGAAGAAGGGACTCGCCTCCCCTCCCCGCTGCCCTCTTATCTTCCCTCCCAGCCCTGGCCCACACCCCACAACCAGCCCATCCTCTGAGCCAGAGGGAGCTATGACTTAGCTTCTGTTCCCTGAGGCCAGGAGGGCAAGCAAGACGGGGAAGGGAGAGGGGCTTCCATATACGGAGGACCCCAGCCACATCCCTGGGAAGAGAAACAGCTACCACCTGCCATCACCAGGGTCTATGGCAGGAAGTGACTCAGGTGTCCCTCCACTTCAGATCCTCCCAGCCAGTGTCCTAAGACAGACACACGACTGCCCCATCCCACAGAGGAGGAGGGTGAGCCCAGGACAGGGCAGTGATGTCCAAGATAACAAGGCAAGTAAGTGGGCCAATCCGATGGGACGCCCTAGGTCTGCTGGGCTCCCAACCACGGTCTCCCCACACTGAGCACCACAGCTGGGGCAGACCTGAGGTGCAGATCCAACCAGATCTGGGCCCCAGAACAGGGCTCTGGCCCCAGATACTTCTCCAGTCCTTGAGAGACAGACGGAGCTCGGGAGTCGCGATTCCCAGATTCCATCACCCTGACTTGCTGTGGAAGAGCAGGGACCTGGGGGCAATTGTGCAGCCTGGGAAGGAGCAGACAGAGCAGAAGGCGGCCAGGCATGTTCCCACTGCCAGGAGAGGCTCAGGGTCACCAGCTCTCACCAACAGAAGCCACCTGAGGTTGGTGGCACCTGGAGTCTGCTCTGGAATCCAGGGGCCACCTTGGGGCACCTGTAAAGGAACAATAGTAGAAATATCCCATGATGACTGGGCACCTGCTATGTGGCAGGCACTGTGCAAAACAACCCTGTGAGTTGGCACAGTTGGCATCCCCTTTTTACGGATGAGGAAACCAAGGCACAGAAAGATTAAGTCACTTGCTCAGGGCCACACAAGAAGAGGTGAACTGAGATTCAAATTCTGGCGGTCTGGCTGCAGTCTCCAGGTGGACTAGGTTTGTTTGTTTGTTTGTTTTTTAGATGGAGTCTCGCCCTGTCGCCCAGGCTGGAGTGCAGTGGCGCGATCTTGGCTCACTGCAACCTCCGCCTCCTGGGTTCAAACAATTCTCCTGCCTCAGCCTCTAGAGTAGCTGGGGCTATAGGCGCCTGCCACCACACCCAGTTAATTTTTCTATTTTAGTAGAGACATGTTGTCCAGGCTGGTCTCAGGTGGGCTAGGTTTTATGGGTGACAAAGCCATCCTTCCTTCACCTGTCTCCCTGCACCTGTCCTAACCCAGATTAGGGGGTATCTCACTAGACAGCAATGAGACCAAGGGGTTGGGGATGCCCAGGCCCTCACCCCTGCCACCATGGGGCCAGGCTTCTCAAGTCCAGTGTTTGTCCTTCCGCTTTTCCTGGGCCACTGGCTGGACATAGGTCATAGAGTAAGTGAGGGAAGGTCTCTGCCCACAGGCAGGGACCTTGAGAAGGAGCCAAGCCCTGAACCTCCATGTGAGCAGGGCTGTGACAACAGGAGCCAGAGATAAATCAGAGGAAGCTGCCTGGAGGCAGTGATGCTGGCAGAGCAGGCATGGAGAGTGCTGGTAAGCAGAAAGGTTCAGGAGGGAAATGGAGACCTGAAGTGTCCTGAGGCAGATGCTGCCTCCAAAGCGGTCCTCAGGTGCCCAACCACCTGTGCTCCCTTCCATCCCTGTGCATACTCGCTGGGTTTCCTTAGGGTCCCCACCACCAGCCTGTGAGCTCCTAAGCAGGGCCCAGGCCTGATTTTGCCAACTTCCAAGTTTAACAAAGCTTGGCAGGTTCCACTAGGGCTGCGGACAGGTCCCTGGGAGGGAGGGGGGACAAAGCGGTGCACAGGACTGGGCTGTACAGGGCTGCCCCTGAGGGCTGGAGGTTGACCATTTCTCCAGTCAACACAGCTCTAGGACAGCCTTCTGCACCTGCAGTCACCGCTCCCCTGCTCAGCCCCTCCCAGCCAGTTAGACCAGCTTCACCTGACAGGCCACAGCCCAGCCCACCTCCCTTCTCCCTTCGTGGCACAACAAGAAATTCCGGTTTCTAGTCCTGGTGTACAAGGCAAGGCAAGGCAGCAGACTGGATCCATGGCACCTGAGCTGTACCTGCAGAGGCTCCCTCCACGTCTGTCCTCCTCCCCCACTATTTGTCCATCCAGCTTCACCCCAGTCACCTCCCTCCTGGAATCTAGGATCACAGAAGGAATGAACTAGACAGTGGGAAACAGGTCCGGGAAGGACGCGGGACTTCCATCTGGAACTGGAAAAGGAGCTGTAGCCTACGGCCCATCCCCTCTGCAGAAGACTTGCCCTCCCCCAGCCCTATCTCCTTCTCCTCAATGGCGGTCCCCACCCTTCAAGGCCTCTGAAAGCTCTCCCTGACCCCACTGAACCCCATCTCTGAGCACATGCCCAGAAGGGGGTCATTCCTGGGCCGTTGCCCCCGCCTCCCCGCGCTGCCAGGCCTTGCTGCAAACTGCCTGTTCTGTGGCATGAAAAGGCCTTATGTTCAGGGAGCCGAGGAGTAGGGCCATCTCCAGGAAATGGCTTGATGGATAAGAGTCCCAGGGACTGGGCTGGGGCTGGGGCCCCCGAGACTGCCCCGGGGGAATTCTGGAGGTTCCAAACTGACGTCTGTTCATTGGACCCCCACCCCATGTCCCCTCTGCATTCCACCAAAGGCCCTCCAGGCTCATACCCAGATGTGGGAGAGACAGCGCACTGGATGAGGGGACGCTGCCCCCACAGTGGTGACAGGAGGCCGCCTACCAGGGCCCTAGCCCTAAGCGAGGAGAAAGGACACCCTGAGCTCCCAGGCCTGGGGACAGTCCCCATTCTCCACGTATCTCCTCAGCCAGGCCTGTGAGGGGCCGGTGAATGACCACTGTACTGGAAAGAACAAAAACATAGCGAGCCTGTGGGCAAAGGGTGTGGGTTCAAGGCAAGTGCCCAGGTCAGCACCCAAGAGGACAAGGCCTGGTCCCACCTGCAGAGTCAATAGGAGATGGGATGTCCCAGCCAGGGTGGTTCTAGGTCTCCAACACAGGGTTGCCAAGGATAAGACGAGCAAGAGAGGGGAACCAGTTTGTCACCTGTCTCCCATGTGTATGACACCACAAATACCTCAAGTCATTTCAGTTTCCAGAAACTGTGACCAGCAAGAATTATCCTTCCCCAATTACAGATGAGGAAACTGAGGCCCAAGTAGGAGTGACTTGTTCAAGGTCACACTTCTAGTGAGATAGGGCCAAGGCTGGAGTCAAGTTCATTCTGGCTCAAAAACTAGCCTCGGCATTCCATCTGAGAGGCAGGGAGGCTGGGAGCCTGGTTGAGGAGATCCTCCAAGAACAGAGCAGCCACTATAAGGACCAACTCAGCCGGGCGCAGTGGCTCACGCCTGTAATCCCAGCACTTTGGGAGGCCAAGGCGGATGGATCAAAAGGTCAGGAGATCGAGACCATCCTGGCTAACACGGTGAAACCCCGTCTCTAATAAAAATACAAAAAATTAGCCGGGCATAGTGGCGGGCACCTGTAGTCCCAGCTACTCGGGAGGCTGAGGCAGGAGAATGGCATGAACCCGGGAGGCGGAACTTGCAGTGAGACGAGATCACGCCACTGCACTCCAGCCTGGGCGACAGAGCGAGGCTCCGTCTGGAAAAAAAAGGACCAACTCAGAGAAGAAGCTGGAGGGGATGGACGGGCATGCATGCAGCACCGCTTCCCATTTGTAAACAGGCGGTCACAGGTAAGACTTCATCAAAACAAGGCTGCCTGAGGCCAAAGTTCCCTCTCACTGGTGAGCAGCTGGGTGTTACTAATAACCCACTGGGCTGGACCTGCCTCACTGCTGAGCCAAGACTGCTTGACTTCCTGCTCCACAAACCTCCCATCCCATTAGTGGGGCAGGGGCTGCCTGTCTCGCAGGCCTGTTGCCAGCCAGTAGGCAGTGCCTACACACACGGTTTAGGAAATCCAGGCAGTGCCATGGACCATCCACCCCAGCCTGGTCTGAGTCCCTATCGATGCTGCCCCATGGGCTCCACTCACACAGCTCTCTGAACACCAGCCACCATATGTTCTCTGCCACCTGCCCCCACATCCAGGACAGGGCAGCTCTGCGTGTTTGGAAAGGGCAGCTCTTCGTGTCTGGAAAGGGCAGGACACCGAGTGAGCCAGCAAGGAAGGCAATGAGAGGAGGAGGTGTGGCAGGGCTCCTGAACCCGCAAGGAAAGGGGCTCAGAAAGGGCAGCTGACTCCCCTGGTTCACGCAGCGGGAGAGTACCAAGTGGGCCAACCTGGCGTCTCCTCCTTTCACCGAGGCAGGCCCAGCCTGCTCCCGCCAGGCCTCACCAGCCTCTTTCCAGTCCATCTGGGCAATGGCCAGAGGGCAGGAGGGAGTCAGGATGGGGGCAGCCAGGCGATGGAGTGGGAGGAGGGTGAAGACCTCGAGTGCCCAGCCCTCCCCGCCGCAGCCAAGGCCTCACAAAGGCCCTTTGAGGCCAGCTCCCTCTCCACCTACTTGACAAAGGAAGAGAGGAAGGCGTGTGTGGGAGAGGGGGCCCGAGAGGCAGAACTCTTGTGGCCAGGCCAGGAGGCTCCTGGGCCTTCCAGAGAGTCAGTACAGGGCCAGAGGGTCTGTTACAGCTCTTGGGACTGAGGTCAAGGGCACCAGGGGCCCTTTATCTGGTGTCAGGAAGGTGGGACGCAGGGAGGCAAGGCTCCTGGGTCCTCACCTACCCCTGCTAGCAGCTCATGGGCGATCTACGACATGCACCTTCCTCTCTTGGCCTCAGTTTCTCTGCCTCTCAAGAGTCCCAGTCCAAGGACATCTACAGGGTATTTTCAGTCAGAAGGGACTCGAGATCATAGCCTGGGAGTGAAACTAGAAAACTACATTTCATTTTCCCAAAAAGCCCAGGGGATCACAGGGAACTTTGGAAAATGCAAATCTGACCCTATCACAGGCTGCTGAAAGCCTTTGCCTCAGAGGGACCTCCCTACCCACAGAGCAAGGTTGAGCATCTTGGCCCCAGATCTGCCATCCCGGGCACGGCCCTCCGCAGGCCCACAGGAGCCTGAGGGGCTCCGACCTATGAGTTTCTATTCCCTCTGCCTTTTCCCACCCGGCCCTTCGGGCAAAAGCCTCATCACCCTTCACCTTCAAGACGCCTCCTCTGATTACTGGGCTGCGGGAGTCACAGCCTCCTCCGGCCCTGAGCATCCTTGAGACAGCACAGTCTCCTGCACTGTGAGGGGATGGCCCTGCCAGTGTCACCAGCACAGCCCTGGAGGCCAAGGAGGGGCCTGCGCAGTAACCTCCAGCCGCTTCCCCTCCACCCAGGCCACCAGGGACCCCACTCTGCAGGACCCACAGACAAGCAGCGAACCCCTCCCCAGCCCACCCTCACATCCAGGAATCGGGGTTCATAGGGATGAAATCACACCACAAGGCCAAACATTTCTGTGTAACACACTCTAGCCTCAGGGACCAAGAGAAGCGGTCGGAGAGATGCCACCTGTTCAGCATTATCAATAGCCATGGTCCCGTACTGGCTGCCAGGCTGTGTGTGGAATCTGGCATGCATTACCTCTTTTAATTCTCACAACCACCCTATGAGGTAGGTACTACTATTTTTTTTACTATTATTATTATTGATTAATCATCATAATAAATACTTTTCATTTCTACCACAAACGACTATTTCAAAATCATGATGATAACAATCAGGAAAGCAAATTCCTTACATTTGGATGTCAGTCTACATTTTACTAAAAACGGTCATATCCACATCACCCCATTTTTATTCCAAAAATGACCCTCAGTGGGGCTGAGGTTACTGCCCCGTTTTTCCTGTGAGGAAGTGGAGGCCCTGAGAGGGATGAAGGCCTGGCTGGGCCTCAACCAGTCCAGTGGTGGGCACAGGATTACAGCCCATTCTCCGAGCTCCCCATCCAGATCAAATCTCACCGTTTCAGCACCCTCACTTTCTCAGCAGTCTGGGGCTAAGGATGCCTCCTCCCGCCACTCCAATGTCCCTGCAGACCCAGCCGTGTGGGTAGGCCTAGGCCTGCTCACCTAGCTCCAGCTGGGACCAGACACTGACCTTGGGCCGCTTCCACCTGACAGTGGGCCCTGGCGTGCCCTTATAGTAGAGCGAGTCGTCAGTGGCAGGGAAGAGGGGGTCCTCGAAGAGCACCTTCCTGCGCAGGCAGTCCCGCCTCAGGGCCGAGTAGTTCTGGTCCTCATAGGGCTTCACGCACGAGAACATGGTGGTTGCTGCCTCAGGGAGGGAAGGGGGAACACCTGGACAGGAGGGCAAGAAGACTGTCACTCGTGGAGTCCCTGGGTCCCTGCTGTGCCCTGTGAAGTGGACATCATCAGCCCCATGTACAGGCAAGGAAGGCTCAGAGAGGCGTGGAGCCTATCAAAGGTCACACAGCTGGTATACGGCAGAGCGGGACAGGCACCTACCAGCCTGCCTTCACAGACTGGATTCTCTCGTTTCTGAAGCTCAGAGGCGATACCAGGCCCGCAGGCCACTCAGAGCTCAGGCCCGGCCCAGACCGCACCCACCTCGCTGCATTCCTTTGACCAGCCTTCCGTATACCTCCTCAGACAGAATCAGACCAGTGGCCAGCCCTGGCAGCTCCTGTGCCTCCCACAGGAAAGCAGCGTGTGCCCCCGGGTTTCCCTCCCCTCCTCTAGAGAGTGGCACATTTCTGTCTGGTGTGGGAAAACCTTGCCCCAGGTACCCCTCTTGGCATCATTCATTCATTCTCTCCGGTCCTCCCCGCACCATGCTGCCTTCCTCACAGCACCTCGGAATAGATGCCTCCAATTCCGTAGAGAGCAGGCCCATGGCTCCTTAACCCTCCCTCCATTCCCCAGGGGCCCTGGTGTGGGTAGAGGGCAGGGCAGGGCAGGGCAAGGAACAGTGGCTGGCAGGGCCTGCATATCAGGTGCGCCGAGAGATGCTCAGACAGCCAAGCGCCTGAGTGACCACCCCATTTATGACCCCCCCACCCCATCCCTCAAACTCCATCTGGGCTGCGGTGCAGCCCCACAGTGCCCGGTCTCCTCTTCCTGCGGCCTGCCCAGGGTAACAGTGCAACCCTTTTGGGGTAAAGGCCACAATTTCCAGCCCAGCCCTGATGGAAACCAGGGCAAGGTAGGCTGGCTGCGGGAGCGACATCTGAGAGCAAGACCGAGTGAGTGCCAGCCCTGGCGGCACCGCCCTCCTGCTGGGTGACACCGGACAGGTCATGTAAACTCTCTGGGCCCGTTTTCTCTGCTCAGTGATGGGAACTATGCAGCGCTGCTGCACCTCCTGGAAGGAGTGAACCCATTAACTGAAAGCTGAGGAGCCTGCTGAGCACGCCAGTGGGAAGAGGAGTGAGGCGGAAGGGGCCGAGACACCCGGTGGCCCCAAGAGACGCCCCTTTTCCCTGGCCAGATGTGCGTGTGTACTGCCTGCCAACAGTGCCAGTGGGCACATGGCTGCCAGCTTTCACAAAATACAACTGAGGCTCAGTGAGGTGAGGTGACCTGCCCAAGCTCCCCCGGAAACCTGGTGTCTGGACAGGGACCCAGATCCTCCGACTTCAGTACCACCGCCTTGGCTGTGTGACCCTACCACTCTCACTCAGGGTCTCCCCACACACCGTGGCTGAGCTGGGGCCTCACTGGGGCCTCACGTGGAGGGAAATAGGGAAGGGAGAGACAGGAAGGGAAAGAGGCGAGTTCGGGTAGTGAGCAGGGACACGGATGGACAGCAGGGAGGGAGGGGGGCCATTGTCCCCCCCACCTGCCAAGGGAGCCGACAGCAGTTGTCCCCTGCTCTGCACCTGAAGCCATTTCACCTTCTGCCCCCACATCCGTACTGGGGCAGCTTGTGACCTCAGGCCAACCACTTAACTTCTCTGGCTGCCCCTCTGCCCAGGGAGGCCAGCAGCCCTGCCCCCTCTCACCCATTCTCCCTGCCTTGAAGGCCTAAGGGAGAGAGAGGAGCCCACAGAGCCAGCTCCCGGGCTTCAGGCTTCTGGCACAGTCACCAAGGAGCATCATTAGCACCACGGGTTTCCGGCAGGGTCAGCTCGGGAAGCAATTTAAGCTAAAAGAATTAGATCAGAGAAGCTGAAAGCAGGAGCCCAGAAATCAGCTCTTGCAATTCCAGTGTTTCTGAGCCTAGAGGGCCCAGAGATGGGGAGCAAGCTCACCCAGGTCACACAGCCAGGCTGGTAGAGAAAGAGGGTCTGGGTGTTCTCCAGGCCAGGAAGGGGCCAACACTGTTGGGAGGGTCCACTCCTGGGGAGGACGGAAGGGAGGGAGAGGCCACAAAGGGAGAGCTCAGCTAGGCCAAGGGCTGCACAGGGCCAGGCCTGGCTGGCTGAGGGTCTGATACCATTGCCCCATTCCTCCAGCCTCACCCGCCTGCCAGGCTGACCTTGGCCTACTTATGTGAGGTTCTTCTGGCCCCAGCCCTTGCACAGACTGCCCTCTACACTCTCCATCTGCCCCAAGGTCACCTCCCAGTGTATCTATGGGGCCAACACCCCAACAGGGTCAGCTGTCCTCTGCTAGCTCCAGGCAAAGCACTGAAGGCCACAGACAGACCACGAGGCAGGCAAGCTGCTCCACCCAGGCCTTTTCTTTCTGAGCCTGAGCTTAGGCCCGCAGCACTTCCTGTCTCCCTGGTGTTTTCAGCTGTTTGGGCCAAGCAGGACCACCTGAGCTTCCCAGCTGCCCTGTGCGCCTGCCCTCTTCCCTCCTCCTGCCAGTCTCATCCCCACCATTCTCCACCCTGGGCTGAAGCTCCAGGGCTCGGAGCTCCTCGCAGCTCCCACAAAACTGTTTCCTCAGGGCCTCTGCACACAGTGTTCCTCTGCCATCCTGTGCCCCTGGGACAGCACCCATTAACACTGTACCCCATCTGCACATGACTTCTCTGCCTCCCCAGCCTACCCCATGCCCCTCCGGGGCAGGGGCCATGTCCAGCTCCTCTCTCTATCCCAGGGTCCAATGCCGGGCTCCAGGGACTGAGTAGCTGTGTTGCACGAACCAATAAACGTGAGTGCAGGTGGAATTCCTTCAAGAAGAGAAAAAGGCTCAGAGAGTGGCGGAGGCTCCCAAGGGGAATCAGCTTTCCACATCATAGCCGCCAGCACTCAGGTCTGCTGCAGCAGGGCCCACCCCTTCACCCTGGCGCAGGCCTGGCTCTCCTCTCCTCCCCTCCCTGATAGCTGGGTGCCAGCCAGTGCCCACACCCCCACTATCTAGGCTGTAGCCCTAGCACATTCTGCTGCAGCCCGGCCCTTCTCCAGCACCTGAGACTCGGCCCGGGCCCCCGCTGCCCTGAGCAGGCCGCATCACCTCACTGGTCTGCATGCTCTTTGTCTGGAAGAGACAATGTGCCAGGGCCTCTGGGTCACTGTGAGGAGCAAATAATACCCCACCATGCAGAGCGGCGGCACTCTGTATCCTTTCATGCTCTGTGCCCTGAGGACTGACAATCTCAGGCAGTCGACATCCGGGCTTCATCCATGATGTGTCCAGACCCCTGCCAGGCATGGGGGGGCTACCACAACTTGGGGTTCCTGTCTGAGTTGGTCTAGTGTGGCCAACAGACACAAGGCCAAATGAAGTATGTCTCATTCAGCAAGAGGAAAGCAGGGAAGCCTCCACACAAGCCCGGCCACAGAGGCAGGAGAGAAAGGCCATTCCCGGCAAAGGAAACAGTTCACGCGAAGGCTCAGAGGTACGAAAGACATCTTTATTACCACATCAGGGCACCCCCTAAAAGGAGCACAGTGCTAACCTGGGCCCTGCTTTGGGAAGCCTAGGAAATGAAGTCTGGAGGCTTGAGATCTGCGTAAGAGGCTGCAGACTCTGGACAAGTTCCTTGATGTTCCCATCTACAAAATGGCTTAGCTGGTCATCATCTCCAGGGAAGGCTCACTGGTATCAGCCCTCCTCCTCCTGTGGCCAGGGCAGCGGTGAGTCAGACCCAGCCTGTACAGCGAGGCCTCTGTGGACCAAGAGTGGAAGTTCGGAGTTGGATCAGAATGAGGGAGCTGGGGGTGCTCACTAGGGAGCTTCAGGAACCCAGACTTCTGGCAGGTCAGTCAGATCTGAGTTTGCATCCCAACTGCATCATTTAGCTGCTGTGTGTCCCTGGGCAAGGTGGGAACCCCTCTGAGCTGTCAATCAGCAAGCCTCCTCTGAGCCCTACTGGGTTCCAGCCTCTAAGGTGAGAGACGACAGAAAGAAAGTGGCATCTGTTCCTAGGCCTGCCTTAGGGAAGCTCAGTCTGTCCTCACCTGGGACATGGTTGGTACTCCTCTTCCAGGAGGCTGTGTGGCCTAGTCTGCTGTTCCCTGGACCTGCTGGAGGTGGCAGGGACAGCCTGGCTGTGTACAGGATAGAATAAGGCCTCATCTTCCAGTGGCCTGATACCCGTGTGCCTTCCCTGGACCACCTAAGCCATTTTGTAAATGGGAACACCAAGGAATTTGTCCTTGAGGCAGAAGCCAAGGCCAGGCTCCAGAGCTGTGTGGAGGGGCAAGTCACTTACCCCTCTGAGCCTCTGAGAGACGGGGTCATGGAGCCAGCATCAGCCCCAGGGGTATGATAAGAACCAAGGATACAGCTGAGCCCAAGCCCAGAAGCAAGAGGGCCTCAAAGCCACCATGGGCCTCAAAGCCCCAAAGGGCCCAGAATAAGCAGAGCCATTTGAAAAGAACAAGCTGGAGGACTTACACTAAGTAACAAGGCTGATCACAAAGCTCACGGGGTATTGTCTCACAGACCAATGGAACAGAATATAGAGTTCAAAAATAAGCCACAAGTATAAGGACACCTGATATATGACAAAAGAGCTGCCACAATGCACTGGGGAAAGGATTTATCTTTTCAATAAATGGTGGGTCAATTGGCTATCCATAAGGAAAAATAGTCGTCTTACCCCTACCTCAAACCGTATACAAAACTTATTCCAGATAGATTTCAAATCTAACTGAAAGGTAAAACAATAATGCTTTTAGGAAAGAACATGAGAAAAACAGTATACCCAAATGGCCTAAAAAGGGAAGAAAAAGTGCTCAACGTCACTAATCATTAAGGAAATGCAAATTAAAACCACAATAAGATACCACTATGCCCCCAGCAGAATGACTAAAGTGAAACACATGCAGACACACACACACACAGTCCCAAGTAGAGCTCTTATGCATTGATGGTAGGAGGATAAATTGGTATAATCACTTTGCAAAACCATTTGACTATATCTAGAAAACCTGAAGAAATAA